TTCTTTACAAATATTCTATAAAGAGCTCAAAACCCAACAGCTCTTACTGTCATGGTTTGCGTTTCATTAAGTGTTTAAAAATAAAGGTTAGCAGGCAGTGATGTAGACTTGAGTCAACTGACTCCAACTTAAGTTGCTTCAATGAATTGACTTGGACTTGACTTGGAAAAAAATAACACACTGACTTGAGACTTGTATATTTTTAGTGACTGACTTGCTGGAACCACTCATTTTGAGCAGCAGACTGGCCTGTCCCCAGAGCACAAGGCACATTTCTCGGAAGGAAACAGCAAATGCATTGGTTAGGCAATGGGCTTGAAACAGAGGGATCCTTCTAAAGCCTTTGAAAAGCTTTAGAAGGCTCCTCTGATGTGCAGCAAGGACAGGCTACCAAGCAGACCTCAATCCTCAGCTCAAGCCCACTGCCTAACATGAAAAACACATCCCATGTTAAAAGCTGGCTCCTAGACTTATGACTTGACGATAGAGATTTGATTTGCAACTTGGACTAAAGGACTTGAATACATCACCATTAGCAGGTTATAAAAAAAAAAGAGTGGGGACAGAGGGGTCAAGCTGCCAGCTAACTATGGTTCTGTATGACAACTGTAAGTCCAAAATTCACAGATCAATATTAACATGGAATCTGCATTATATTAAGAAATATGCATTACTTTTGGTTCTATGATGCTCTGGAGCAGGAGTAGGCAACCTTTCCCCTTTAAGGGCCGAGGGACTTCAGCTCCCAGAAGCCTCAGCCATGTTGTCCAATAGTCCCATGTTGGCCAATAGCCCCTGGGATTCTGGGAGCTGAAGTCCCTTGGCCCTTAAAGGGGAAAGGTAGCCTACCCCTGCTCTGGAGAAAGGAACGCTATCATCATTTTCAAGGTTTTAAAGAAATATTGCAAGTACAGGTTGAGTATCCCTTATTCAAAATGCTTGGGACCAAAAGTGTTTTGCAACTGGGATTTTTTTGATTCTGGAATGCAAGGAAGCACCTATACTGAATTTGTGAGGCTGGAGAGAGATGCAAGGATCTGTGAAACGGCAGGAATCCAAGTGCAGTGCTTGGCATAAATCCATGCCTCCCGCCATTTCACAGATCCTTACGTCTCTCTCCAGCCACATCTCTCTCCAGCCTTGCAAAGACAGCAGTATGACACTACTTGTATATTACAAAATCCAAAATCAAAGCCTCAAAGCATCATGTCACCACTCTAAAAGTTTCTGATTTTGGAGGATTTCAGATTTTTGGATAAGGACGGTCAACTTCTTCAGAAATCTTTCTCCAATGGCAAGAAATACATTCCAGCTACAACATAAACAACTGTAATATTGGTTTTTGCCCTGGAATAGCTTTATATGGGCTATAATACCTGGGGGATGTATACTTATAATAGAAGAGGCATAGGTATAACTGGATGGGTTTTGAAGGGCCAATATATTTGTTCAAAAAAAGACCAACTGTGTCAATAGCAGTTCAGAATTCAGGGTGAAGATTGTATCTGAACACTCTCACATCAAAATGCCAGAGAGGAAGTAAGCTGCAAGATAATTTTTTTTCCTTTTTCTCTTACCAGTCCTGAATGTGGAGCTCCCTCCAAAGAAGGAAAGTCAAGTGTTTATTATTTTTTAGATAGGGTGGGCAGATGGGAAAAGATGAGCAAGGTCATGTACCTTTCAGCAGAGGTGACTTGAATGATAAACTACAGCTGTGGAAATTCCCTCTACTGTAGGCAAGCATGAAAGGTGCATGAACTTTTCCATCTAACCACTCCAACCTTAGATAGGCTATGAAAACCACATTCTGCTGCTGAGCTTTTGCACTCTGCTCTGAAGTCTCTGTTTTATCATTTTAGTTAGTGGTTTTGATATATTG